AATTCTCTTTTCTTTTCTTTTTTTTTAAGATATGCCTTTATGTGAGGAAGATTGGCCCTGAGCTAACATCTGTTTCGAATCTTCCTCTTTTTTTTTTTCCTACCCACAGCCCCACTACATAGTTACATATCCTTGTTGTAGGTCCTTCTACTTCTTCTATGTAGGATCCTGCCACAGCATGGCTTGATGAGCTGTGTGTAGGTCTGTGCCCAGGATCCAAACCAGGGAACCCCAGGAACCCCAAACTGCCGAAGCAGAGCACGTGAACTTAACTACTACGCCACTGGGCTGGTCTCGCTAATTTTTGATAGAACAGCCAAGAACATAAAATGGAGAAAGGAAAGTCTCTTCAATAATTGGTGTTGGGAAAACTGGACAGCCAGATGGAAAATAATGAAAGTAGACTATTATCTTATACCATACACAAAAGTTAACTCAAAATAGATTAAAGGCTGAAATGTAAGACCTGAAACCATAAAACTCCTAGAAGAAAACATAGGCAGTGCACTCTTTCACATCTGTCTTAGAAGTATCTTTTTGAATATCATGTTTCCTCAGGCAAGGGAAACAAAAGAAAAAAATAAATAAATGGAACTACGTCAGACTAAAAAGCTGCTGCATGGCAAAGGAAACCATCAACAAAACAAAAAGACAACCTACCAATTGGGAGAGGATATTTGCAAATCATATATCTTATAAGGGGTTAATATCCAAAATATATAAGGAACTCATACAACTCAATAACAGAAAAACAACCCAATTAAAAAATGGGCAGAGAATCTGAACAGACATTTTTCCAAAGAAGATATACAGACGGCCAACAGGCACATAAAAAGATGTTCAACATCACTTATTATTAGGGAAACGCAAACCCAAACCACAACGAGATATCATCTCATGCCCATGAGACTGGCTATTATTAAAAAGACAGGAAATACCAAGTGTTGGAGAGGATGTGGAGAAAAGGGAACCCTTGTACACTGCTGGTGGGAACATAAACTAGTACAGCCACTATGGAAAACAGTATGGAGATTTCTCAAAAAATTAAAAAGAGAACTACCACATGATCGAGTAGTTCCACTTTGGGGTATTTATCCAAAGAACATGGAAACACTAATTTGAAAAGATATATGCGCCCTTATGTTCACTGCAGCACAATAGCCAAGAATTGGAAACAATCTAAGTGCCCATCAATGGATGGATGGATAAAGAAGACACAGTGTATATAAACAATGGGATACTACTCAGTCATGAAAAAAGATGAAATCTTACCATTTGCGACAACATGGACAGACCTCGAAGGTATTATGCTAAGTGAAACAAGTCAGATGGAGAAAGCCAACTACCATATGATGTCATTCATATGTGGAAGATGAAAAAACAACAACAAACGAGCACATAGATACAGAGAACAGATTAGTGGTTACCAGAGGGGAAGGGGAGAGTGGAGTGGGTGAAAGGGGTATAAGGGCACATGTGTATGGTAATGGATGAAAACTAGACTTTTGATGGTGAACACAATATAGTCTATACAGAAGTCGAAATATACTGATGCACACTTGAAATTTATTTCATGTTATAAACCAGTGCTACCTCAAAAAAAAAATGAATTAAACAAGCGAATGAACAAAAAAATGATTGAAGACTAAGCATTGTTTTAAGGCAGTGGTTTCTAAACTTTATAGTCTTGGAGCCATTTACACTCTCTTATTTAGGACCCCAAGGAGATTTTAATTATATGGATTATACTTAGAGATATTTATTCTGTTAAAATTTACTGTATTAAAAGCTGAGAGGGGCTGGCCGGTGGTGCAGCGGTTAAGTTCACACGTTCCGCTTTGGTGGCCTGGGGTTCACCCGTTCGGATCCCAGGTGCCGACATGGCACCGCTTGGCAAGCCATGCTGTGGTAGGCGTCCCACCTATGAAGTAGAGGAAGATGGGCATGGATGTTAGCTCAGGGCCAGTCTTCCTCAGCAAAAAGAGGAGGATTGGCAGCAGATGATAGCTCAGGGCTAATCTTCCTCAGAAAAAAAAAAGAAAAAAAAGCTGAGAAATTAAAAATTGTTTGTTTAGTAATTAATTTAAAGATAACAATAACAAACCCAGTACATGTTAACATAAATAACATACTTATCAAAAAGAAGCTCTGTTTCCCAAAACAAAACAAAATTTAGTGAGAAGAGAGGCATTGTTTTCTGCAAATCTCTTCAATGTCAGGCTTCATAGAAGACATCTGGATTCTTATATCTGCCCTGTACTCAATCTCTTGCAATATGTTTTTCTGATTGAAGAGTATGAAGAAAATCTGGTCTCACACAAAGATGTAGTTACAAAAGGGAGGATTTTTAAATAGCTTTTTCAGGTAATTGTAGATATTCTTCTTCGATACTGTACTGAAACTCAGTAAGTGATAGTTTTCCAAAGGTTAATTGCAGTATGGAACTTGATACCACATCAGTACACTTTTTGTACTCTGTTATATTAAATCTACTTGTTTATTCTGTACTTTGAATAGATCTGCATTCAAGCCTGATTTTGTAACATCATGAATTGGTTATTTGAAAAATAATGGTCGCTGAGTTGTTTTGAGCAAGAACTCAAAAATGTTGACACATTTCATTATCTATCTAAAAGATCACTTTTATTAGTATCCCCAACAGGCTTTTCAGAAAATCTTTATGTTTTGGGAAGTTGTCAAGTTCACAGTGATGGATTCAAGTTTCCAAAATTCTAATTTTTGCTAGAAAGCTCGAATTTCATCATTGGAAAATATTACTGTCAGTTATTTCCCTTGATAGTTTTGTTTTCAAGAAAATGTCTGCCACATACCCAAGTCTGAGTAACCGTAGTTTGTCTGTCAGACATTCTTTCAAATACAAACAAGATTACATGAAAAATGGACGCGTGTAGCTGGCTAATAAAACAATCGCATAAGTACTTTTCCTTGCAACCCACAGTTGTCATAATTCAGAGGAAGCATTTAAAAAGACTTCGCCTGCTTGTTTTTACTGTGAGGGAGTGGTATTGAAGCACATAAGGCGTAAAGTTTGGGATCAATACCTTGAATTGTGCAAAGACTTTTGCAGGTTTACTCACCAACTCTTTTCACTATCAGCATAAATGTGAACACAGTGAAAAAAGCAGAGAACATATTAGTATTATTATGAAAATAGTTTTGTCCTCACAATCTCCATGAAAGCTCTTGAGGACCGTCCCTTTAATAACTGCTTTAAGGTCATCCTGATACAGATGTGGGAAGGCATCATGCCACCTTCTGCTTTTTAAAAAGTTTAAAGGAAAGGCATTTCAGATTTCTGCTACATTAGAAAAAAAAAGTGAGACAATCTTATCTGAAACTCCTGGGTCTGAAATAATTTTTAAAACCTTCTTTCTTTTTAGTCGAAGGTTGAAAGTTTAAAAGTTGCTGTTTCAACTTTTCTGGCATTGGCATTTAGTAATCAGAAATGTCTTTTTTTCTTGTCTCTACTGCTTAATGTTTGACAGAGCCCTGACAACCAAATCACAGAAAAGTAAATTCCTTCCTCCTCCAAAGGCTTTCTGAAATAAAGTCTTACTTACGGGTGACGTTTTTGGCTTCAGAAAATTGATTGTTCAGTAACAAGTCCTATTTCATTGAAGTATTCTATGGCATGTAGTCATGACAACCGTATAAATCAACCCAACTCATATTTTAGTTAATGAGATAGCATTTTTTTCCCCTTAAATCATACAAAAGAGTGCTTTATTTTAAAAGGTTTATTTAGAGTTTAATTTTTTTAATCTATCTCATTTCTTTAAGAAGACTTTTTCGGCAATCACAGATGATCATCTGAGTCCTGGGTGGTTTTAAGCACTAATTTCTTAAAATGTTTATACAGTATATTTGTTAAGTCATGTGTTCTTTCTAATCATAGTCCAGGTGCAATTGAAAGTAATGAAAATGATCTTAATAACTCACCTAATAAGCCATGGTTAAAAGTCAGTTTTTAGATGATGGCTTATGTGTTGTTTGTAGAGTCACCCTCAAGGACAGATGATGCTGCAGAAGAAAAGCAAAAAGTAATGAGCTTGAAGCCAGAGGAAAATTTTATGAAAAATAAACTGGGGTTATCAGGTACTTAATAGGGAGGAAAAGATTAAGCTTACAAACAAGAGTCTTGGAGACAATCTGGAGATAAATATTGTCCTTGGGTCTCAAGAAAGGGAAATTTAGGTGTAAGATATTTTCTTAACTATAAAAGAATTTCAAATTTACAGAAAAGCAGAGAATAGTATGGCAAACTACCATCTGCTCACCACTTAAATTTAACAACTGTTAATATTTTAGTGTGTTTACTTCCTTTTTTTGTGACTATATTTTAAACTAAAGACATCAAGACATTTTGATCCTAAATAGGGTAGATTGCATCTCTAAAAGATGAAAACCTACAAATATACATTTTACTCTGAGGGGATGATCTGAGAACCCCAGAGGACCTGCCCGAGGTCCCTCACTTTGCAGACTGGGGTGTGCAGGCTACGAACTCTAGCAAGAGAGCTTGAGATGGTGAAGGAGATTTTATAGAAGTGTTGAGAGGACTTAGAGAAGATGAACACTGAGAGGAGGGCAAGATTTGAAAGAGAGACAGAGAGATGGAACGGGCAAGTTTGATTAAATTGTACTATTTTGTGTGTGGTTTAACCATTTTCTATATCTCCCCATAATGTCTTAATTTAAGTTTACATTATTCATTCATGCTTTAGAAATTGGATTATTTTTTTGACTTGACCCTGACCTTAGGGCGGATGTGGAGTGAAAACCGAGGCTGCCCAAATGTGTCATGGGAGCCACACAACTAACATCGAAGGAGTCTAGGAATCCACACTCGGAAGAGTTTTAGCCAGTCAGTAACAGAATGTCCTATTGGAGATTCTTAATTGTTCCCCACCCCCTCACTTTTTTTTTGCATTGAAGTAATACAGTCTGTCTTAATTTATGCAACGTCTTCTTATGTTTAGGTCTCGGATGTGGTTTATTATACACTGCAACAGTGACCATTACGTGCCAGTATTTTGACAGCCGCCGAGGCCTTGCACTTGGCCTGATTTCAACAGGTACGTTTTCAAAATAAGTGCAGCATTGCCATTATTCAGCCGTCTCATCACAGTTAAAAGTGACCAAGCACGGACACGTTTAACCAACCACTCCCCAGCTACCACTCAGGTAGCACAATTTTTTTACATTAGTCCTAGAAGGAAATTTTATTTTTCACTGTAAATATGAGCGTAGCTTTAGAAAAAACCCTAAGATATGTATATGAAAAATCAGGAGCTTTAGATGTCCAGTATAAAACAGGAAAAGAAAGCTTATGAGAGTCACGTGCTGGTGAGAGCCTTGCTAAAAGAAGCAGAGAGCACTTGAGTAAAGCACCTCATCCCTGAGAAAGATAGGAGAATTGAAAGGAAACTGGAGATCCTTAAGGCCACTGTCAGAAAGACTGATGCTGATGTCCCTCCATCTCCATTTACTTTGGAATTACAGTTTTCCTAAAGTCCTGATTTATGAATACATCTCACTGACCCGTGCGTGTCCGAACGACAGGCTGTTTACCCTTGTTATTCCTTTAATAATCAAGGGATGACCACTGAGGGGGAAAATGTAAATATAGAAGCCTTCTGGACTCCCTCTGATATTTTAAAGTGTGCTTCACTTTTCAGATGGATTTTTTTCTAGGCTGTTTAGGGAACTTATCAAAATTTTCTGTGGTCAATGTTTTATAGATTTGTGTAGGGGATAAAGCAGCCAAGTTTACTATAAGTTGTAAGTTTTCATATGCTACTTGTTAATGAGTGGGTATTCCTGGGAGGTCAGGCTTTCAAATAAGCTGAATAAATTCAATAGCATATCTGGCAACAAGATCCAAACTGATGTTTTGTTCATGGGGCCAACCCAGTGGCAACAAAGTGATTCCAAATCAAATTAAATTGAGCTGGATATTTACCCAAGGTGGTTTAAGGATGCGTTACCAGGTGAGAAATGTGAACCGTCGTCTAGGAGGAGACAGAGTCAGAGTCTGAGGACAGGCTAAGGCAGAACTTGGAGAAGAAATAGAAAAAGCAGAAGACGGGAATCCAGAGCAGTTGGTACCCATACTATATTTTCTGTAGAGGCGCTATACTGTAGTGATGAGCACAGACCCTGGCGCCAGACCACCTGGTTTTGAATCCTGCCTGTGTCACTCACTAGCTGTCCAGTGATGGACAAGTTACTTAACTGGTCTGTTAACTGTTAAGTTAAGCCTCAGTTTTCTGAACTGTAAAATGGGATATAATAGTACTCATCACATTGGGTTACTGGGAATATTAAAGGAGAGTGTGCCTAAGACATATTGTAAGGGCTCTAAAAGCATTATAATTGTGACCTAGATTCCCCTTCAGGTCCAAATTTGCTGGTGCTGAAGATATCGGACATTGTATGCTGAGAGGGCTTTTCTAGCTTCCCACTCAGTCTGGAGAAGAGGGCAGAAGGGCTTGGGAAGAATTAGAAATGGAGCGACTGTGGACAGTCAAGATTTGGCAGAATTAATGAGTTTTCAGTTTCGGCTTAGATGGAGCTGGGTGAAGCAAAATTAAAGAGAAACATTAATCCCCTGTCTTAGTCACCTCAGACTGCTATAACAAAGAACTATAGACTGGGGAGCTTGTAAATAACGGAAATTTATTTCTTGCCATTTTGGAGGCTGGAAGTGTGAGATGAAGGTGCCGGCATGGTCTGGTTCTGGTGAGAGTCCTCTTTCAGGTTGCAGACTGCTGTCTTCTCACCGTGTCATCACATGGTGGAAGGGGAGTGGGAGCCCTCTGGGGTCTCTTTTATACGGGCACTAATCCCATTCATGAGGGCTCTACCCTCCCAACGGCCACACTTCCTAATACCATTACCTTGGAGGTTAGGTTTCAGCATATGAATTTTGGGGGGACACAAGCATTCAATCTATAGCATCCATCTTCAGAAAAAGAGATGACAAGCAAAACAAAACTCACAGAATTTTTAAAAAAATTGGAAAGAAACCAAAAGTCAAAATACTTGAAATATTGTGACTTGGTTGAAAGAAAGGAACATGGACATGAAGTGAAGGTTTTGGGAAAGCGATCTCCCTTCCTGGTGAACAGGGGTTGGTAAACTAATGCCCATGGGCCAAATCTGGTGTCCTGTCTGTTTTTGGACAGCTCATGAGGTAAGAATGACTTTTACATTTTTGTATAGTTAAAAAAAATCAAAAGAATAATATTTCATGGCATGTAAAAGTTATGTGAAATTCCAATTTCAGTGTCCATAAATAAAGTTGTATTGGAAGACAACCATGCTCATTCCTTTATGATTTTTCTCTGGCTGCTTTCATGCTTCAAGGGCAGAAAAGGGCAGTTGAGCATTTTTGACAGAGATTGTATGGCCCCCTATACTTTACACATTTACTCTCTGGCCTTTTATGGAAAAAGTTTATTGACCCCTAGTATTAATGAGTTAATCAAAGTGTGAGTGTATCTCTCACTGTTTCAGGTTCCCTGAACATCGGTTAATATCTTTCCTTTTTGTGATAATGTATAATTTAGGCATGCATAGAAGCATAATTGGTGCTTTATTTCACTTTTCCCTTTACATTGATGATTTTTAAATGGGAATTTCCTTCTTGAAGATTAAACATTATAGTTTTACAGTTTACACAGTTCCACCACAAAGTTCTAAATTACTCTTCGTTGCCTGAAAGAATTCTTGCATCTTTCTAAGCTGTGGTTGCGTTCTTGTGGGATGTAGGCTGAGGAAAGTAGTGTTCAATGTGTAATTTGATTTTGCTGCCCTGTCATATGCTTAACACATTATAGATGTTCAATGAATTTCTGTTGAATTGATTTGATATGTTTCCCTTATATTTCACGATATTGACAGCTAAACTTGGTTGGTGAGCAATGGGGAAGTTGTTCATTTTCTTAACTTAAGGTCAAAAGATGGAACTTGCAAAACACCAAGAGTATTTTTAAGTATTTAATGGTATGGCACTTTTTTAGAATCTGTACAAAGAAATGGTGTTAGACAAAAATATGAATTAACAGTGAATAGATGCTAAGTTAGTACAGAAGTACATGAAGTAGTCCTATTTTCAAATCTTTTAGTTTGTTTTCTGAAGTACTTTTAACTGTTAAAGTATGTGCCACTTTTAAAAAGATAAGGGAAGGATTACATTTGCCTACTATTATTACTTCTCAAAAGTCAACATAGAGACACTTATTCTCTTAGTAGCCACAAAAAGATACTATTTTAGCTGCCATTACATTAACATGAGCTATGAATTAACATTTGCATGCTAAGATTTTGTTTCTTTGAGGATGAAGGAGTTAGCTTTAAAAATGTTAGGAAGGGACAACCACGGTCCCAAAGAAAAATGTTTTCTTACAACTCTAAGACAGAGCCATTTGGTTATTTGTAAGAATGTTTGATGAGACGGATTTTTACTGCAAGCGTGGCATCCTGTTCGAGTTAAGATGTAATTTGGTATAGACTATTTTAAAGGTATGATCAGCTTGTTTAGAACTATTTGTGTGTGTGTGTGAGGAAGATCGTCGCTGAGCTAACATCTGTTGCCAATCTTCCTCTATTTTATGTGTGATGCTGGTGCAGTATGGCTTGATGACCAGCGCTAGGTCCACGCTGGGGATCCAAACCTGCAAACCCTGGGCTGCTGAAGTGGAGCTCACAAACTTAACCTCTATGCCACTGGGTCGGCCCCTAGACTCTTTTTTTTTTTTACAACCTATTTATATCTGTTTCTTTCCTGCTTTTTCACATGATGTTTCTCAATGATATTTAAATTTTAAAATTCTCAATTTTTAAAAAATTGAAGCCAGAACCATGTAGGAACACTGAAAATTAATTGGGCCGATGTACCTTGCCATTCCAGCATGTCTAGTGTGATCTATGCTAAAAAACTGGAGTATTTACAGTGCTGCACAGACGCGCAAACCAGGCATACTTTGTAATTTAAATACCCTATCAAATTCTGCTTTACTCTCCTCATAGTTTATTAATATGAATCATTCTGGTGATTCAGCAGTGGATTTGAACTATCAAACCATTATAAATATCCTAAAACTAAAATATATTCTTCATCTCAAAAAATAAAATATGAGAATTTGTTTTTCCAAAGGGAATAAAGGGAATAAATATAAGCATGGAGCCTAGCACATCGTAAGTGCAAAAAAAGTAGTTGCATAAGGTATTTGTTAAGAAGATGGGCTCCTGGAGTTAGACTGATTGAGTGTGACCTACTTCTGCCATTTAGAGCTTTGTGATCTGTGGCAAATTTCTCAACCTTTCTGCCCTATGTCTCTTCATGGGTACATTGGGAATAATAATAGGACCTGCCCGACAGGATCATTATAAAGATTAAACAAGACTGGGCAATGGAAAGTGCTTAGCACAGTGGCCGAACTATAAATGCTAACTCTTAAAATAAATAGTCTATCAGTATTCCTATTATTATTATCATTATCTTCAATATTCTTGCTGTGATTTTAATATGAGGGCACACATGAATGCCAGTGTGAAAAAGAAATTCCATTATGATACTAATAATGCTTGTCCTGAAGGCTTCAAACTGTAAGAGATTACGATTGAACAACTCTCATTTCCTTTTCAGGTTCAAGTGTTGGGCTTTTCATATATGCTGCTCTGCAGAAGCTGCTGATTGAGTCCTATGGACTGGATGGATGCCTGCTGATTGTGGGTGCTTTAGCTTTAAATATATTAGCCTGTGGCAGTCTGATGAGACCTCTCCATGCCTCTGCTTGTCCTTTGCCTGAAAAAACAGCTCTGGAAAATGTACCAGATAGATACTCCATTTACAATGAAAAAGAAAAGAACCTGGAAGAAAACATTCTTGAAAAGAGTTGCGGTAGAGAGGAAACCTGCCAGAGCACCTTGCCCAGTGGTGACTGGAAACAGGAGAGTTTACTTCATAAGAACCTGACAACGGCACACACAAGAGAGACTGAAACCTACAAAAAGAAAGTTGCAGAGCAGACATATTTTTGCAAACAGCTTGCCAAGAGGAAGTGGCAATTATATAAAAACTACTGTGGAGAAACTGTGACTCTCTTTAAAAACAAAGTATTTTTAGCGCTCTTCATTGCTATCTTTCTTTTTGACATCGGAGGGTTTCCACCTTCATTACTTATGGAAGATGTAGCAAGAAGTTCAAATGTGAAAGAAGAAGAGTTTATTATGCCTCTTATTTCCATTATTGGCATTATGACAACAGTCGGTAAACTCCTTTTAGGGATACTGGCTGACTTCAGGTGGATTAATACCTTATATCTTTATGTAGCTACCTTAATCACCATGGGCCTGGCCTTGTGTGCAATTCCATTTGCCAAAAGTTATGTCACGTTGGCAATACTTTCTGCGATCGTAGGGTTTCTTACTGGTAATTGGTCAATCTTCCCATATGTGACCACAAAGACTGTGGGAATTGAAAAATTAGCCCATGCCTATGGGATATTAATGTTCTTTGCTGGGCTTGGAAGTAGTCTTGGACCACCAATTGTTGGTAAGATATTTGTTTCAAAGTCAACCCATTTTACTTTTCTTTGTAACATCTCCAGATATAGAAATTCAGATTGTAATAATAGTGCTGATTTGCACAAAATAAATCTGCAAGGAAGATCTCATGGGAATGATTTCTTCAAAATCACTTTGATATGGATGAAAAAGCCAATTACTTGCTCAGGGATTTGTGTTCATTATTTGGGAGAAGCTCAAAATGCCAGCTTACTCTTATCCAAATATTTGAGAGATTCTTCTCTTCTAACTCCCAATGGGCCACTTTAGAAGTCGGGGTGGCGGTGGGGGGTGGAGGGGGAGTAGTTTATATCCTAACCCAACTGTATATAAAATCGATGAAATTAGAATATGGGCTTCATATTCATGCTATTTCTATCAAATTCACTTTTTTCTTACTCTCTTTTCAGGTTGGTTTTTTGACTGGACCCAGACCTACGACATAGCATTTTATTTTAGTGGCTTCTGCGTCCTGCTGGGAGGTTTTATTCTGCTGCTGGCAGCCTTGTCGCCCTGCGATACATGCAACAAGCAACTCCCCAAGCCAGCTCCAGTGACCTTTTTGTACAAAGTTGCCTCTAATGTTTAGGAGAATATTGGAAGGCACTACAAGACTGTTTTCTTATAGCAAAATTTCACTATGGCTGACTCTGAATGAATTTTTTACATATCCTATTCTCTGTGTACTGTATACATAGCCTCTATTGCCTGTATTTTTTTTCTCTTTTTTCTTTTTCCAAGATGTGGGACTATTCTGTTTTGCTAGTATTCATGAGTTCTTGACATTGTAAAAATTTTGGCCAGCCTCAGAAGGCTTTCTCTGTGTCAAGAAATATAATTTCTCTGCACACTCCGTTGGTTCCAACGCAAGGCACCCAGAGGGAACTCTTCTGTTTTATAACTGATGCGGGCAGCCTGATGAGATATGTATGAAGGCCGCTGGGGACTAACTCATTCTCTTTTCTGTTAGACCAGCTAGTAAATAGAAGACTTCGAGCCAGTCAGGAAGTGAACATGGTTACTAAAACAGCCTTAAGAATTGCAGTGGAGCAAACTGATCCTTTGAAAAAAGATATTTTAAATTATAGTCACTGGTTTTCATGATTCTAATTTATTTACCTTGATGAAGCACCCACTTATTTGGTGTCCACTGAGCATAAATCGTTTCAATTCCGAAGGAGATTGCTGAGATGCAGGCAGTCTCCAAGCAGAGGAGCCGTCGCTGTAGCCTTTCTTCATGGGTGGCCGCTGTAACCTTGCTCACTTTGTCAGCATCCGCTAAGCTGTTGTTTCCCAGAAAGTGCTGATTTTACCTGTTTCCAAATTGGAAATGCATATTTAAACCATTCCATTCTTGGCAAATGGGAAACATCCATTTGCTTCGGGCACAGTGGGGATGAATTGCAAGTCCTTGCATATCTTCTCGATGAAGCATTTATTTGCTACTATTAGATTTTACTGCTATCAAACCTTAATTCAAGGACAGAACTAAAAAGTGTGTGTGTGTGTGTGTGTGTGTGTGTATTGTGCTCTGAGTCTGTGTGGGACATGGGAAGGGAAAAGGGCAATAGGAAATTGATACCCTAATCCAACTTCATTCAATCTTAAGAAAAATGTTCTAGGAAGAAAATCAATGTTTAATAAATTGACATTTTTCTAAAGAAATGTTTTTAAAACTTTGCTATGCATCAGAATCCTCTAGATCCTTTAAAAAATATAGTTGCCTGAGTAGCACTCTTAGAGATTTTAATTCTGTAGGTCTAGGCCGTGGGCTAGGCGTCCATATTTTTAACGAACTCCTCAAGTGATTCTGATAGTACAGCCTGGGTTGAGAATGGCTGTTCTAAGACTGGCAATAGAGAAACATTTATTCTCTTAAATAGAAAACAAAAACCCAATAAACCATTGAGGTAAGGGGTTTTTAAAAATAGCCAAGTGTGGTTCTTTAAATTGGAGGCACTCTTCCCATTGTGCCAAAATTATCTTTTCATTTCTTTTGAAATATGTAAGATTATTTTATACTTCTATGTTGCCTTTCTTCAAAGGCGCCTGAAGCACTTTATAAGCATGAGTCCCCACAACACCTCAGTGAGGTAGGTAACTAGCGCTTTTCTATGCAGTAAACCTGGAGTATGGGGAGCTTCACGGCTGAGTTAATCCTACTCCATAACGCAATAGTGGGGCTCCAAAGCGCCTTGGACTTCTGCTCCATACTCAGACTTCTGGAAAGTTTTCTGTACCTCATTCTTTAGTCACTGTCAAGGCTAGTAAATACAATAAGTGACATTTAAAAAAATTAAACTAAATGTTTTTGTGTTGACAGTTCCTTTTTGCCAATATTATACAGGAAATCGAATAACCTGAAAATTTTCACTTTTATGACATCTCCACATTCATCAATGTTGACAGCTGTTCAAGTGCATCTTCACTATGTCTGCTAATGTCGTCCGATGTGTGCATTATCTGTTGTCTAGGGAATGAGTTTTAGGTGATAATAAAATATTTTTTGTTTGTTTTGCATCCATTTGGTTGCTTTTTCTCTTCTTAGTCAGTCCCCCTCCTCCAAATTACAGTGACACTTCACTTGCATGTAAAAATATAAATTACCTGATATTCACTTCAGACCCCAGAATTTGGTGATTGGACATCAGCATATTCAAAAGTAAATTTGCTAAACTGTTTTGACCATGGCCTTCCAGAAAGCTAATATGTCAGTCCTACAGAATCCTTTTGAAGAAGAGGAGACAGGTTTCTCTTTGAGATTCTTATTAATTATCTCACCAATCATTAATGGAATCCTTAATATGTTCCAAGCACATTACATTATTTATCCCTCATAATAGTCATGTGAGATGGGGATTATGGTCCTCACTTATGGTATAAAACATCATTGCCATGATATGGACAATGTATGTATATATGTAATTTCCAAAAGTGCAAAAAAGGAGTTTCTAGTAAACCCTTAGATTTCTAATGTGGCTGGGAAATGGGGCCCAGCTGGGAGGGTTGCTATAAGGCCAATCCTTTAGTGAATAGAGAAGTCATGTTTACATGTTAATTATGTAAATGATTATTCATGACTTGCCCATTTCCCAAGAATTAATGTTTTTTAAAAAACAACAATGAAATTATATTAATTAGAATATAATCTTTCTTTTGTGACTTAAAAAATACTTGACATTCCAAGTACCTGGGGCTCTGTTGGGGAAGGTGTGAAGTAAGGTTTGTTAGGGACCCTATTCCCTGATTTTGTTTAATACCACCTCACTCCTTTCAGCCTCCTGCCTCTCTCTCTCTGATGAACCTCCTAGGAGCCAGTTGGTGATCTAGTTTTCTCTGGGTGACCATGACATCAGTGGAGAAGTTTCAGCCACCAACTTGTAAAGGCCCCAGGAGGAGCAATTCTCGAGAACCAGAAGTTCCAGCATTGGGAAATCATGTGCTGGTTAGAAAGTCTCATGACCTCAGATAGCCTCAACTTCTAGCAATCAGTGTAGGATTACCTTAACTCGGGATGTTCCAGGAAATAAAGGAAAGCTCTATTTTGAAGGAAAGATTGTCTCATTTTTTTCTTTTACGTAGAGAGAGTATTATGTTGAACACATAAAATACACAATTTACATTAGCAGTGCCATAAAATTTCTCCTCCATTAATAACAATCTCGGGACTCTTGGCTCTGCAGTCAAGGGTGTCTGAAGGATGTCAGTAATAAGATGCCTGTTTGAGTAAGGAGTTTAACCCCAATCAGTTAAAATGATCAGCAATCTATGAATACATGGATGATATTTGGCGATACATGTACATACTTATTAAAGTTGTGATTCCTGAGTTCAGATCCCAGCCCAGTTCCTGGGGCTGGGTGATTATGAGCAAATTCCTTAGCCTCTCAAAGCCTAAGTTTCCTCATTTGCCACACACCTCGTAGGGCTATTGTGGGAATTAAATAAAACAACTTGTATATATGCCTGGCACATATTTGGTAAGTGTTAGCTATTATTATTTTTGTTGTTGTCGTTATTCTTTAGTGTGTGGCTTCTGAATACCTGAGGGAGCCATCAAGCGTCCCTGGGCACGGATGTGGGGTAAATGTTTGCATCGAAGGGCCTCATTTAGGAAAAGAATAAGGAGCCTTCTGTTATCTCTAATTTATGCAACTGTCACAGCTCTTGCCCTCCTCCGAGCATGTTCTTGTCAAAATCTTTCATCTGTAGGGATTTGTGACTCAGCGCATTTTTCTGGAATTGCCATTCAGAAGCTCTGACACAAAACAGAACAGAACACATGCTGTTCCTCCACAAATCAAATAGAACCCACTTTGTAAATTGAATTGCTATGGGAATTTGAACTGTTTTTTTCCTTAAGAACTCTCATCTGAGCTGCTTGGAAGGCTGGCCTGAAACGGGGCAGAAAGCAAAATGCCCTGATTTGTTTATTGAGCACTAATTGGCTTCAGCTCAGGCCCTTACTTCACTCTCTTCCCAGTTTGCCTTTGAGATTTACTCTTGAGGGAGTGTACGTCCTTGCCAGGTCTTCTGGGATTCTATTCCTGACGGGTCTCAGTCACATTAGTTGCTTTCTACTACATGCATTCCTTGGCCTAAAGAGTCACTTACTTTTATTCTTTCTCCTTGAAAACATAAAAAATATACATATTTAACAATTAAATGTAATCAGTTTCTTTCTAAGTGGTATTCTAAAACTTTGGTAATCAGCATGTTTTCAATAAAGAATAATTAACTATGTGCAAGGTGCTGTTATGCTGTAGGTCACCTTAAATCTATGTAGCCACAGAGATATGCCTGTTTTCTCCTCCTGAAAACATTCCTCTTGTGATAAGTCATTATTCCTCCAGCTTAGATCTGAAAACTCCTGAACATCTATAGCTTTAACAGGGCATTTCTAAGAGTAGCCCGAATAACTTTAGGACCATGACAACAAAGGTGATGAGATGTGACTGGCTATATCTACCTCTGAAAGATGCTGGGCCAGGGTTAACAGCTCATTTGCATACAATCTCTAAGGCTTCTGGGAGGGTGCCATTTTGAGAACTCCTGGGCAGAATTCCCTCCTGAGGGAAATGCATCTTCCTGCAGGTCAGGTGTGAACAAGGGGTCAGTGGAGGTGGAGGAATTATTTGAGGCCAATGAGAGTACCACGCTACAGACAGAGTCAGGATGAGCTAAGGTCCCTGAACAGAACTGTAGAGTGTTGGTTTGTCCAGCAAAATGGGACAATATAATATGGGACCTTCCTCTGCACAAGACTGAAGACAACTGTAACTTCCAAGGGATGTTGTTTTTTTTTGTTTTTTTGTTTTTTTATTAATGTTATGATAGATTACAACCTTGTGAGATTTCAGTTGTACATTTTTGTTAGTCATGTTGTGGGTACACCACTTCCCCCTTTGTGCCCTCCCCCCACCCCCCCTTTTCCCTGGTAACCACCAATCAGATCTCCTTGTCAATATACTAACTTCCACCTATGAGTGGAGTCATATAGAGTTCGTCTTTCTCTGACTGGCTTATTTCGCTTAACATAATACCCTCGAGGTCCATCCACGCTGCTGTGAATGGGCCAATTTTGTCTTTTTTTATGGCTGAGTAGTATTCCATTGTGTATATATACCATATCTTCTTTATCCAATCATCAGTTTCTGGGCATGTAGGTTGGTTCCACGTCTTGGCTATTGTAAATAATGCTGCGATGAACATAGGGGTGCAAGGGACTCTTGGGATTTCTGATTTCAGGTTCTTAGGATAGATACCCAGTAATGGGATGGCTGGGTCATAGGGTATTTCTATTTTTAACTTTTTGAGAAATCTCCACACTGTTTTCCATGGTGGCTGTACCAGTTTGCATTCCCACAACAGTGTATGAGGGTTCCTTTTTCTCCACAACCTCTCCAACATTTGTCGCTCTTGGTTTTGGATGTTTTTGCCAATCTAATGGGTGTAAGGTGATATCTTAGTGTAGTTTTGATTTGCATTTCCCTGATGATTAGCGATGATGAACATCTTTTCATGTGTCTATTGGCCATATTCATATCTTCTTTTGAGAAATGTCTGTTCATGTCCTCTGCCCATTTTTTTTTTAAGATTTTATTTTTTCCTTTTTCTCCCCAAAGCCCCCCAGTACATAGTTGTATATTCTTCGTTGTGGGTCCTTCTAGTTGTGGCATGTGGGACGCTGCCTCAGCGTGGTTTGATGAGCAGTGCCATGTCTGCGCCCAGGATTCGAACCAACGAAACACTGGGCCGCTTGCAGCGGAGCGCACGAACTTAACCACTCGGCCATGGGGCCAGCCCCCCTCTGCCCATTTTTTGATCGGGTTGTTTGTTTTTTTGTTGTTAAGCCATGTGAGTTCTTTGTATATTATGGAGATTAACCCTTTGTCAGATAAGTGGCTTGTAAATATTTTTTCCCAATTAGTGAGCTGTTTTTTTGTTTCAATCCTGTTTTCCCTTGCCTTAAAGAAGCTCTTTAGTCTGATGAAGTCCCATTTGTTTATTCTTTCTATTGTTTCCCTCAACTGAGGAGTTATAGTGTCTGAAAAGATTCTTTTGAAACTGATGTCAAAGAGTGTACTACCTATATTCTCTTCCAGAAGACTTATTGTTTCAGGCCTAATCTTTAGGTCTTTGATCAATTTTGAGTTTATTTTGGTGTGTGGTGAAAAAGAATGGTCAATTTTCAATCTTTTGCATGTGGCTGTCCAGTTTTCCCAGCACCATTTGTTGAAGAGACTTTCTTTTCTCCATTGTAGGCCCTCTGCTCCTTTGTCGAAGATTAGCTGTCCATAGATGTGTGGTTTTATCTCTGGGCTTTCAATTGTGTTCCATTGATCTGTGGACCTGTTTTTGTACCAGTACCATGCTGTTTTGATCACTGTAGCTTTGTAGTATGTTTTGAAATCGGGGATTGTGATTCCGCCGGCTTTGTTTTTCTTGCTCAGGATTGCTTTAGCAATTCAGGGTCTTTTGTTGCCCCATATGAATTTTAGGATTCTTTGTTCAATTTCTGTGAAGAATGTTCTTGGGATACAGATTGGGATAGCATTGAATCTGTAGATTGCTTTAGGTAGTATGGACATTTTAACTATGTTTATTCTTCCAATCCATGTGCATGGAATGTCTTTCCATCTCTTTATGTCGTCGTCAATTTCTTTCAGGAAAGTCTTGTAGTTTTCATTGTATAGATCCTTCACTTCCTTGGTTAAGTTTATCCCAAGGTATTTTATTCTTTTCGTTGCGATTGTGAATGGGATTGAGTTCTTGAGTTCTTTTTCTGTTAGTTCATTGTTAGTGTATAGAAATGCTGCTGATTTATGTATGTTGATTTTATACCCTGCTACTTTGCTGTAGTTGTTGATTATTTCTAATAGTTTTTCTATGGATTCTTTGGGGTTTTCTATATATAAGATCATGTCGTCTGCAAACAGCGAGAGTTTTACTTCTTCGTTACCTATTTGGATTCCTTTTATTTCTTTTTCCTGCCGAATTGCTCTGGCCAACACCTCCAGTACT